TATTCTGCTCATTTACCTCAAGGTGGCTTGGAATTGCCATGCTCTTTAATTTTTGATGGAGAAACAAAAGATTTACTGAAAGTTAAAAAATTGTTATGTGCTGCTCCATCTCTACCAGTAGAACTTTCAGAGAAACAAGACAAACATAAAGCTCTCAGTGAAAAGCTGTGTGTTGCAACATCACCACAGTCAGTTACGGGAAAGCCATCGAACAAATGAGCTAAAGTTATCTCACAAACAGAAGATGCTAATGATGAAAGCAACAGCATTGTGTGGTTAAAATTTGATGGAATTTACTTGCTAGAGAGTGACTAGCAAGTGGTATCTAATAAAGTGAAACTGAATGATTGGCATAATCAGTTCCCCAGTTTTCAAGGGTTTGGACACACACTTGTACAAAAGAAGAGACCTGTTGCTTTAATTCAATGTGGCTTACAGATTGTTCATGACAGGAATGACCATTGGATTGTTGTATTATATAGGTAGTAGCCTATATGTAGGATTGAGGTTGATTTTTCAAGATGGCATTTGTTTTTATGATTTTCAAACACTCATAACTCTTTTATCTTACGTTGTACAGCCTTATAAATGGCTTAGATTAGCTCTCCTTCATTGAGCGATTCTCCTGGTACCTTTAAAGTGAACTGTAATGTAGCGGGAGCATTTCTGGAAAACAGGCCCAAATCAAATTTCTACAAAATTCATCAGACTTTTTCTTCTTTCATCTTTCATCTATTCACCGGATAATCTCTTAAACTATAGAATAGCTCAAGGTCACTTTTACATGACTCCTCTGGGCTTGGGTCAAAGACCACAAAGGTAGTTTCAAAAACAAGCGAGGACAGAGAACAAAATAGAAGACAAAATCCAGCTGCAGCCACTGCGTGGGTTTGTGGCTTGACGGTATTGTAATTTATGCGCATGTGAATAGCATGAATATAATTAACCTAACCACAGAATCATAACAAAATGTAATTTTTTGATTTAAGAAAAAAGAATGGAAACAAATAAAAAAAACATTAAAAATGGGAAAATAGTAGGATTGAATGGTAAAAAATCCTACACCACTGCATGAAGATTACTACTCAAAAGCGTAGCAATTTATTCTAACAGCCAACTATGATAGCACTATGTGAAGCTTTTATTTTTTATGCAGTGGTGTAGGATTTCTTACCACACCAGTTTGCAAGTACCTTCTTGTTTCTTTACTTTTTTCCCCATTCAATCCTACTATTTTCCAATTTTTATTGCTTTTTTATATACTTGTCCAATATTAGTTGTTGTGATAGCATTATTTAAGTTTATCATTCTGTATATCATTCAGTGAGTCC